TGATCCTCTGCAAGAGCAGCCAGTGCTCTTAACTGCTGAGCCATGTCTCCAGCCCCAATACCTTGTTCTTCAAGAAAAGGTCTCTGATCTAGAACTCATCAAATAAGCCAGGTTGGCTGGCCAGGGAGCCATCTGTCTCTGCTTTCTGCTTCCCAGTGCTGGGATTACGAGCCTGTATCACTGTGCCTGCTCTTTTTAAATGTGGGTTCTGGGGGCAGAACTCCGGTCCTCATGCTTGCAAAGCAAGCATTTTACTAACTGAGCTGTCTTCCCAGCCCACAGAGCTTGATTTTTTAATCAGTATGCCTGATTAAATAATTTCCAAACTGTATGAAGAATATTAACATATATACACAAACAAGTTCCTAACTAGAAAACAAAAATTATTGCAGATTCATTGTGATTTAGTATCTGCATAAAAGAAATGCACAGATTTTTGCTTTTTAAAAATCTTTATTGCTTTTTAAAATGTTTTAAAAATCTATCATAATGTCATTCATCCTCGCTTCTCTGTCTTGGTCAACTATCAAGATCAAGAATAGCTTCTGACCCGCCACCTCATCCATGATTCCTCATCTGTTTACATCTATAGTAGTCAACCTGTGAGTAACACACCTGTAGGACACTGGTACATGTTGTGAAATGAAGTCACATGCACAAGTTCCTGGTTAATTCAACCTGCACCTCAGGGTCCAGTATAACTCTTACAGTGATTTCTTGTGTCTTTCACCTAGGCCTTCATACCTTATCCAGACTTTGCCAGAGATTGGAGCCCCTCTAAATCCCTCTCAGCTACTGTTCTCCCCTCCTAAATATCCTAGCCTGGGTTTCTAATTACTGATTTCTGTCCAGGACTCCAAGTCACTTAAGACACAGCAGTGGAGCTCCTTGCTGTGAGCCTTAGTCGGTGCCCTGAGGCAGAGACCAGCAAACCAACAGAGTGGTGAGATCTGATCTTTCTTCTGGCTTTGCAGTACTTAAGCTACAACTGGCTAGGGGGAAAAAAAAAAGACTAATACTTCTTGACATTGTAAAGAAAATCAAATTTGTGCCCATAAAAAATTTTTTTATTGGAACACAGCCATGTTCATTTGTTTGCGTATTGTCTAAAATAGTCCAAATGTCTCCGCAGTCATTCTGTGGCCAATATACCCAAAATACTTGGGTCTTACAGAACAGTAACTACTGGGCTAAGGTTCTAGGTATCCTTGCCTAGTAGGCTTTGCCCTGGCCAGTTCCACATAACCAACATTATCTACCATCTGGTTTATTCTGTTACTTTGGTTTGGCTTGGTTTGGTTTGGTTGGGGGTTCTTTGGTTTTGGTTTTATTGTTCATTTGTTTGGTTTTTTATGCCTAGCTCCTTTTGTTCTCCTCTTGTGTTGGCACAGGGCCAAGAAACCCAGGGACCCTGGATAGGCTCCTAAAAATGTTACAGCTTGAATGGAAGCCTTAAAATTCTCCAGCCTGGGGAGATCTGGGCACCATGCCATTGGAAATTTTTTGGGCCATTAAAAGTGCTAAATGAGGCTTGACATAAAGCTAAAAAGAAAAAAGGAACAGTCCCACAGAAGGCTACACACAACGATGAAGTTTAGGCTTTCTATCCGGTTTGCTTACTCATAAAAACATCTCCAGGAAAAAAAAGGGGAAAAAAAAAAAAAAACTAGCGACATATTGGAAGGCTGTTTCCAGGCTTAGCTCATAGGTAACTTCTTTTGTTTTATGATTTTTTTTAATGCTTAGCAAAGAACGTGTCTTGTGCTTCTTTAAAATAGTGTGAGTTTTAAGTTATACAGATATATATTACAGAAGTTTGAAAAATACAGAAAATCAAAATGCAGGCACTCAGTTCACCGTACATCTTATGATTAAATAACAACTTATTCCTATGTTGATGTATTTTCTTAGTCTTGCTTCTTAGGGGTGAATATAATGTTTCTGATAATTAATAGTTTATGCATTTTTATGACACTTTTTTCACTGCAGTGTTGTGAAACTTCAAGTCATGAAAAGCATTCAAGATGTGTTTATGTAAGGCAAAGCACTCTGTCACTTATATTTGTGAGGAAAATGAAAAGAAGATTTTGAATAAGTTGTGAATCACCATCTACTCCTGGAATGACTGTTTCCCCACATTCCTTGTTCTAAAAACAGAGGAACAAGCAACAGCTTTGACCTTACTGGCTGCCTCGGAGTCAGGGATAGCGCCATGTTCTTTCCTCAGCACCACAGTGGAAGTGCTTCCAGACACACCGTCCTCCTCGCCCATGCCCAAGTCCCTCACACAAACTGTGATTTAAACATTTCATAGTATGTAAATGTATTAGACATTACGTGGTACCACATTAACATGTAACTTTTATGTTTTATAGCCTTTGAAAATGATAAAATAAAATACATAGTACCTGCATATTTATCTATCCACCTGTTATAGCTTAAATCATCTCTAGATTGTTTAAAATACTGAATACAATACAATTGCTATGTCAATAGCTATTGTCCCGTACTGCCTGAGGAATACAAGAAAAATAGACCTTTACATGTTCAGCCAAGTTGTGATTTTTTTCCAAATATTTTAAATTTGTGGTTTAAGCCACAGTGTAGAACCCACAGACAGAGGGCCAGTTGTATACAGATGGTGGCATGCAGGGCACTGGACTAAGACGTTAGCAACTCTGCGGTGCTTTCTAAACACCTGAAAATGTGTGCTCTGACTTGTCATGAGTGGACACTTGTTTCCTTATTCCTCACGTGTTGAGAAACCTGCTAATCCGAGGAGACATGTGCTTCTAAATCCCATTCATCCCCTTAGACCAGAACTCAGGGTAACCCCTCCCAGCACACCCCTCCCCCCAACTGATTTCTTCATTTCTGATTCTTTTGTGTTCATTTTCTGATTCGTTGCTATTCTAGTTTCACTAGAAGTTAAAATGAACTCACACAGAACATTGGATCATTGTAAATGTTCACATATTCTATTTTATTTCACTCCAATGTATTTGGGCTTGTGAAGATTTAAAGAGAAACCCAAGTCAGATACCTACAATTTTTATATAAAACAAAATATATAATAAGTACAAGGCATGTCTGATGCCTACATTATGTGAGTTCAGTTGTGACCTTCCCCCACTGACATGAAAGAAAACTCAAGCTAGGTGGATATCCTGTCAGAGTCCAGCTCTTAAATGTCCCTGGAAGGCCATGTGCTTTTTTAGAGGCTTGGTCACTAACCCATGGTACTATGGGAGATGTAGAACATTAGAGGACTGTAGTGGAGGACAGCTGTAGCTGAGATCAGCCCTAGAACAGGATACTGGGACCTCGGCCCCTCCTCCTTTTTCTCTTTTGCTTCCCAGCTGCCATGACATAGCAGCTTTTCTCCAGAATATGGCCCCTCTGTGCTCTGCTTCATCACACCACTAAACAGATGGAGCCCAGAGGCCAGGAACTGAAGCCTCTAAACACAGAGCCCAAATAAATCTTCTTTACTTTTAAGTTGACTCCCCCAAGCATTTTCTCATAGTCACAGAAAGCTGACTGGCAAAAATACTAAATTTCTAACAGAACTGTAAAAAGTTTAGACTTCAAGTTTAATCTGCACAGAGCTTTCTAGTAATAATAAAGCAATACATTCATGAATAAAGTATATAAAATACCACCTCTTTGATGTGTCATTAGCTCATGTGGATTGAAGTCTCAAAGAAACCTGTTCACGCCCATTCACTGCTGGTGGGATTGCAAACTCATGCAATCCCTGTGGAAAGCAATGTGAAGAACTATTAGAAAGCTAAAAATGAACTTGCCATTTGACTTGGTTATACCACTCCTTGGCATACACCCAAGGAACTCATCCTATTGCAGAGACACTTGTACATCCATGTTTGTTGCTGCTCTTTTCACAATAGCTAAGAGATGGAAGCAACCTAAGTTTCCAGCTGATCAGTGGATAGTGAAAATGTGGTACATTTATACAACGCAGTTCTATTCAGCAATAAAGAAAGACAAAATCATGAAATTTGCAGGTAAATGGGTGGAACTAGAAACTGTTATACTAAGTGAAGTAACACAGGCTCATAAAAACAAATGATGTATGTTCTCTCTCATTTTTGGATCCTAGCACTAAATCCTTGTATATGATTATGTATCCTGATATAACTGCAGGAAAATGGAAAGGAACCAGGAAGGGAAAGGGAGAGAAAGAACCTGAGAGAGAAGAGTAGGAGACAGGTGTTACTAAGGGAGAAATGGGGAAAATGGAGGTAATTCAAAGGTTAAGGGAGCAGAGGGAGGGTTATACAGGGAGAGAGAGAAGAGAGATAAATAATGCCTAGGAGTGTAAAAAACCAGAGGGAATCATATTAGTCAACAATCTAATGACAAATTACACATACAATATCTCTATATGAGTTCATGTGTGTAGCTGAGGGCTATATAACAGAAACAGTGCCAAACAAGAGAAACCTTCCTTTGAGTAACACATTTGAAACTTTGGCCCTTGTGGTGAGGTTTGACAGAACTTACCAGGTGGTGTCTGGCATATATAGCCTCGTTTACCGTCACAGGTATCATCCATCCACATCCCTGCATCCCGTGACTTGCCTCCAATAAGAACAACACAATCAGCCTGCACATTTGTGGATAAAGAAAAGGAAAATAATAAGCATAAATTAATAATTATTTAAATCAATTAATAAGAAAAACCTTCATTATTCCTAGGTTTCAATTTTAAGATAGTTCTGGTTTACAGAATGTGCAACCCATCAGCACTCTCCACCCAGCTGTCCCACTTCCCACGTGGATCCCTTCACGCCTGAACTCTTGTTATCTAAGGCTACTCTAGTGCATTCCATTTTATTCTTAACCTCAGTAAATGTTCAGCCCTTATTTACACGATGAGGACTGAAGCTTTTCTGCATAGAAAATTACTGACACACCAGCAGAACATATCCATCCTGCATCTAACTTCCAAGTGAGCCATCATAAAAAAGCCATTTTGATCAGACATTTTTCCACTCAACCTCATTCACCGCAGTCTGACAAAGTGTAATCTCTCACAGGGCATCAAAGTTCTGTCAGCTCTCTTCTATTGCTCCAAGCTTCCTCTTCTTTTCTGGCATAAAAGTCCTGCTGTGAGTTTTTTGGCCAAGGCCATTTGCTTATTCCTAAACATACCTTTTCCTGGAAGTCTTTCCTCATCCACTCACCCAGCAATGGTTTTCTCCATCCTTTGTGTAGTTCCTTCAATTATTTTTTAAGTTATTTTTTAAAAATACCCATAGCTGATTCTTTTCCATAGTCCCTTCCATATCATGTCACCACGCAGTGACAGTGCCTGACACAAAGAATTCCACAGACCCATCCCACAATGCTGGGTCCCTCTTTCCTCTGGTGCTCCATAGAGGACCCTGTCACTCCACTCTCGTTTCACTACCACCTCCTTTCTCATATATGACTTCTGTTCTGGTTTAAGAGTGGACTTCCTTAAGGTTAAAACAGAATCTTCCATGTCTTTACGCTTCTCTCAGTTCCTCACATCATGCTTGACACCAGCCGTTTGACTGTTCGATTATATAAAAGAAGAAGCGGTAAAATAAAGAAGCAATAGTCTGCCTCACAATGTACAGAAGCACTCACCAATGTTTAGCACCGAGAAAGCACTGTAAATATGAGCTCAGTAACATACTTCATGATGCTGATGGTAACCTCAGAAGCAGTAATGGCTTCCAGATCAGCATCCCAAATAGTACAAGAGCTACAAGGGATAAGGGGCACTTGATGCAAAGCAAGTTCATAACTTTGCACTCAAGAGTTTGCCCTGGGTATCAGTGAGGATCAGGATAAAGCTGGGTTTCCCTTCTGCTCACTGTGACCAAAGGGTTCTCAACCAGATAACAGCTGAAATCTGCTAAAACGGAGCACAGCAAGGAGGGGCCTCATAGGAGGCCAGTCAGTAAGACGACTCTGCACACAGGTAGAGTTAAGAGGTGATGTGAAATGATACTTGCATCTTCATAAGACAGGCTGCTTCTTCTGCCTCCTGGGAAGCCCTTCCCCCAGTTTGTATAATGAACTCCTTGCCCAGCTGTCCAGAGGAATGTGTGCTCTGAATTGATATCATTCAGCCCAATCCAGGCATTAAAAGTAGAGTCCTTCATATGATAGGTAATAAATGCTGAAAGAGAGTTGCACAGATGACTTAAAGTTGGGGGGAGTGAGTAGTCCAAGCATAGAAAACATTTCAAATATGATAATTTCAAAATAGTGCATGTTATTCAAGGTTCTTATTATTATTACTTACAAGGACACAACATGGAAATTAGACACATTTTTTAACCTTAATGTCACATTCGTGCTGAAGTTTTGGACTTTGATGGGTTTCTTATAATGGAAGTCTAGGTTGTATGTAGACTACTGCAGATAGCTGGGAAGGTTGTGCTCTGGTCAAGGGCACCCGCAAGAGCTAAATGGGGCTAAAGTTCACCACAGTCCCTTCCCCACATTTGAAAGGCAAATGAGTTGTTTGTGGCTGCCTACCAACCTATGGGAAGAAGTGTGCTTTTCTAATTCACAAAGACTCATTCTATGATGCTAGATTTGGTGGTACAGCATTGTAGATCCAGCATTCAGGAGGCCAGGACAGGAGGAGCACAAGTTCAAGGTTCTCTGAACTGGAGTGAGTTTAAGAGTAGCCTGGGCAAATTAGCAAGATCCTATAAGGCCAGGTGTGGTGGCACACGCCTTCAATCCCAGCACTTGGGAGGCAGAGGTTGGCGGACCTCTGTGAGTTCAAGGCCAGCCTGGTCTACATAGTGAGTTCCAGGACAGCTGGAGCTACAGGGAGACCCTGTCTCAAAAAGACCAAAAGTAAATAACTAAAATAAAATACAAAAAGGTGACTGAGGATGCAGCCCTGTGTTAAGGCACCTGCCTAGCACGTGCAACGTCCTGCTTTCAGTCCCCAGTATTTCCTCTTCCCCCCTCTTCTTCCAAGAATCATCCTATAAAGGTAGCAGTTGCCTTGATTCTGTCAATAAAATAATCTGGTTATAATCATTAGAAGAGAATGAACTCTTAAACTAGAAAAGCTCTGAAAAATTAAAAGCTTTTTATCAGAACAAGAAGCCTTCTGCTCTCAAATTTTCAATATCACAGATAGCCCAAACAAAAGAGTTGCCCAGCCAGGAGCCCTCTAGGCAAGCAAGTCCCGGGAACCAGTGGCCACCTAACGAGGGTGCGTGGACCTGGCCATCCTGATGCTAAAGTGAATGAGAAGATCTGGAGAAATCTGGAGTGCACAGAGCGATATGGTTCCTTGTGTTAATAATTCTGTGGCAGGGAGAACAGCAGCAAGCACCCAGAGACATACGCAATTTAAATGAACATATGCATCATCCCTTCCTTTCCTCTAAGGCACCCCATCTCTCTCCCAGCAGCTGCCTGTTCATACCCACCAACTATGTATGAACCAGGGACTCTAGGTGGACAGAGATCCTAATAGAACAAAAGTCACAAACATTTGTACTTAAACATGTCTGTTGGATGTACAGAAAATGGATGATTCAGCATCTAGGGTCACTAATAGAAACTGCAAAATACAAGTCTGTAGAGATACAGTCACCTGTTTATTCGTGAACAAACAATCCCGAAAATGGCTCTTGTGGTAGTCTTACCTTTTCTGGAACAGCAGAGAAAGAAACCTCCTTGCTCAGATTTACTTTTCTCTCAATTAACTAAAGATAAAGCTACTCAGCAAAGGATTTTCTTCCACTATTTTTTCAGTGAAATACAAACATGGATAGATATTTATTTTGGTTTTATTTCCTAAACAAGATTGCAACTTTTGCCTTATGCTAAACTTGAAAAGAAACACAGAACAGGTCTATCTGACAATACTCAGTACTGATGGCTTCCTTTACCGCCAACAGCCACAATAAGACTTCAACAACCTGCATCTGTTTTGCCAGGAATAATGTTATTCTATCAGAAAAGTGCTCCCTTCTGCACATCTCTATTACTCAGGTTCTAATTTGTTATTCCAGGAATCAGCACTCTGTGGTGGAGAGAGGAAACCTATTGGTGTGTTTCTCTGCTGGGTGGTGACGGCAAGACCGTGGTAAGCAGTTAGAAAATATGAGTGTTCTGTTCTCATATCGAGTGTTATGGTTTGACCCTTTGCTTTGGGTGTCTGACCAGTCGTTGAACTCATCAAAGATTTTCAATGGAAGCTTGGTTGGTTTGCTGTATAATGTGTTCTAAATGTTCTTGCACATTTATAGAGTAAGCATTTGAGAGAGCAACATGCAGGTTTCCAGTATCTTCTCATACTTTTTCAGATATATCGTTTGGGGTAGTGACTTTGAAAACCAGAAATGGTCCAGGGCTGGAGCGATGGCTCAGAGAATAACAGTGCTTGCTGCAACAAGCATGGGGATCTGAGTTCAGATCCTATCACCCATCAAAAAGCCGGATGTGACTATACACATGCTTATAACCCCAGCACTGTGGGGGCAGGCAGAAACAGGAGAATCCCAGGAGCTTGCTTGTTACCAGTCAGCTCTAAGTTTGGCGAGAGACCCTGACACAAAGGAATGTAGGGGAGAGTGATAGAGCAGGGCACCCAACATCCTCGTCTGGTCTCTACGTGGATATGCACAAGCATATGCACCTGCACACACACACACACACACACACACGTGTGTATGTCACATACACATATACCATACTCTCTCACATGCACAAGACTGCTCAACTAAAAGATATGTTAGAGAAAATCTGATTTCCAATTTTTTCCTAGAACATCCTTATAAATTTAAAAATCAAAGCCTCTGTGGCACATTTTCTGGTCACAGTGTGCCAGCCAGGGTATGCGGCTCTACAGGAACCTTTAGGGCATCTCCTAGTTTTAGGATTTTCACAGTCCTCTGGAAACTTCAGCTCCCTTGGGAAATAGCTCATCTTATCAGTTCTAGGTGTTGGAATGGCCTCTTCATTTCAAACCTAAGTTTATTTCCTTGTAACTGCCACTCATTGGTCCTAAGTCTTCCTTCCAGGATCACACAGCATGACCTTTCAAAGTCCACTTCTCTTTCTCTAACTTTAACCTGAGAGTCTCTGGTCCAAAACTCACTTGCTGTGGTTTCTAAACCCTTCAACAGTCCAGCCTAAATCTCCTACAATTGGTCAACATCATCCTTAAAGTGCAAATCACAAATTTAACAGAACACTTATTTCAGCAAAGGTGGCTCCCCCAAAGACCATGCAAAAAAAATGGTGAGTTGGTAAGTGTTGGGACTGGAGAGATGGCTTCATGCTTAAGAGCATTGGCTGCTCTTGCAGAGGATCCAGATTTGGTTCCCAACACCCACATGGAGGCTCACAACCATCTGTAACTCCAGTTCCAGAAGATGTGACACTCTTTCTGGCCTCCACAGGCATTGCACACACATGGTGCACTTACATACCTGCAGACAAGACAGTCATATAAAAATAAAAATAAATAAAAAATTAAAAATGTTTTTAAGTGATAAGTCTCTCTCTCTCTCTCTCTCTCTCTCTCTCTGCATGTGTGCATGTACACACATGCAGGGTGGAGTCAATGTGCTTATGTATTGTGGGTGAATATACATGTAGAGGCCAGAGGTCATCCTTTTTTTTGTTTTTTCTTATGAGTCATCCACCTAATTTTTTGAGATAAGGTCACTCACTGGCCTAGAGATGGCTGATTTTGCTATGCAGGCTGACCAGCACACCTCAGCCATCTTCCTTTCCCACCTCCCTCCTCCACAGCGCTGGCATTATATATGTGTACCACCATGCCAGCCATTTTACATGCGTGCGTGCTAGGGACTGAGCTCAGGCCCTCATGTTTGCACTGACTGAACTGGCTCCCCGGCTCCCCAGCTCCCCGGCTCCCCGGCTCCAGTGCCTTTCTTTCAATAACAGAAGGAATTTTACAGTCTTCTGCAAGGGTGCAGGAAATGTTCTGCCAACCTCTCCACAGCTCTGGCTTATCCACATGTCTCATGGAGAAACATTTTTATGCATTTGTTCAAAGTTCGCAATAAAATTTTAGCTTTACTGTGTTGTGAGCTATTTGATCAAGTGCCTAGACAAAAAGTAAAGCAGCAACTGATCATTTTATTCTGAGAACTACTTTTGTCTGACTCTCTGAGAAATAGATTTGTTGGGAGGAGGATGGGGATTTAAGCTGGAAACCAGGGTTTTGATTCCAAACTCCACCTGTTACTGTGCATGCTCCTTCCTCCAAGGCTCTTTGAACTCCACTTCCTCATTTACACATTGGAGGAACAAAGCCTGCTTCATGGAGTTGCTATGAACATAGAAAAGGAGTCTGTGCAAAAAGCCCAGCCTGGTACCTAAAACTAACTAACTAACTAACTAAAATAAAATAAATAAAATAAAATCACTCTCAGCAAGTATTTGACGAGGTTTTTTTCCCCTCCTAGTTTTTATTCTAGAAAAAAAAATTAGGCTGCTATACTGAGCAATAGTCTAACATACTTCTGATTATAACATCATGGATTAGAACACTGTGGATTAGAACATCATCAATTAGAACATCAATTAGAACATCATCGATTAGAACATCATGGATTAGATCGTGGATTAGCACATCGATTAGAACATCATCAATTAGAACATCATCGATTAGAACATCATGGATTAGATCGTGGATTAGCACATCGATTAGAACATCATCAATTAGAACATCATCGATTAGAACATCATGGATTAGATCGTGGATTAGCACATCGATTAGAACATCATCAATTAGAACATCATCGATGTGCACACCTTGCTCTTTCGCATTTTGTATGGACGCCAGGTTTCCTTTAAGCCCCATGCAAGACGTTCGTGCCTCCTTCCAGTTTTTTCTTTCTTCTTCAGCAAATCCAAAAATTTTGAAACACTGAAATGGAAGAAGCGAAGCATGGATTTTTAACTACAGATAATAAGGTTGTAGTAAGAAACCAAATTATTCATGAACATATCTATGTATACATACTTTATATAACTAAGTATAAATTTTCTCACAGCAAAATGAAGATTTAAAAAAATTTCAAGTCCGTTTAATAACCCACAGATTCTCTGTGTTTCCCTTGAAATAAAGGGCACAGCTCTTTGGCTGGTATCTAAGTATGCTCTCAATGGGAATTTATTAAGAGAATCTCCTGTTGTTCTTACCAAAGATGCCCTAATGCAATAAGGTAAGCAGAAGTCAACTTTGAGCACCAAGACTTGCATTTGTGCCTCTTCCATCATGAGCCGTGCTCTTAGGATTTAGTGGCCATAGGTTCATGTGTCTGAACACCTGATGCCCAGCTGGTGGTACCGTTTTTTTTTTTTTTTTTTTTTTTGAAGGTTATATAACCTTAGGCCATATGCCTGGCTGGTGGATATAGGGCACTTACGGGGGGGCGGGGAATGGGCCTTGAGGGTTAGAGCTGGGCCCTCTTCCCATTCCACTCTCTGCTTCCTGGTTCACCAAGATGTGAGCATCCCCTACCATATGCTCCCACCTCCATGGAGTCCTTCTATGCCTTATGCCTTCCCTGCCACGATAGACTCTGTCCTCTGAAATTGGAAGGCAAAATAAATCGCTCCTTCCTTAAGTTATGTCTGTCATGTGTTCTGTCAGAAGAACAAGAAAAATAAATAATACAAATAAGAAGACTGCAACTAATTCTCCTCATACCTTGTTGTTGTACAAGTTCCAGCCTTCCTTGCAGCCGCCTGGGCTGGGGGGCGAGGTGGGCATGGCTGTGGCGTTGATGCTGCTGTTATGCCTCTGGCAGATGAAGTTGTTTGGATACCCACAGTTGATGTCATTCCAGAACCCTGTCACAGAGAACAGTGAAGTTAGATTTACATGTTATCATTCAAAAACATACTTTTAAAGAAAGATTTCTATCTTATTAAGAGTCTCAAAAATGGTTTAGAGTAAAATCACACTGTACTTCCCACACCTGACTAGAAAACTCTAGGCACTCCCTTTCACTGTTTCACTTAAAATCATAATCTCAACTTTCAACTTTGCAGAAAGACGCCTAAGCACTAAGTGCTCATTTGGTGTTTCAGGTGTATTACCAAGTTATTAATCACTAATACTCACAAGCTAATGACACCTAACTATGTATTTAATTTTAAGATTCTTTACCTCATTTAATCTTCTTGGCAACAGATAAGCTATTTCGTTATTTCCATTTTATAGAATAAAAAGGACCTGGATAGAGGGATAAAGGTGATAATGGGCAGATTATGGATATTTTATTCAAATAAGAACAATTTGGAAGAAATAAGGTTGAGAGTGTGGTTTGTTAGCTTGCTGATAAGCATCCTGATAAATTCTTCTTTGCAAGATGAACAGTTATGCTGCTACAATTAGAAATCTCTCTTATTTTCCTGTTTAAGTACGTAGTTTTCTACTTTAACCTAAAATATACAAAGTGGCAAACTGCCTCCAAAGCAAATACAGTAAGATTAGTGTATTGTCTACCTGAATTTGTATACATAGTTACGCAGTTTTCATCATCATTTGCAAAATTCGGTTCACCTGTGGCCCAAGCCACATAATCCACTTTGCTTCCATCCATCCAACTAGAAAAGAAAATTCAAGCATTTTCAACAACCCAGGCACCCAAACAACTGGCTACATCTTAGAAGTGAGAGAGGCAAGTGCATCCAGATGAAGGGGGCCTAGGAGGGGACCTAGAGAGACTGACAGGGAAACCCCAGGTGCCTGGTCATGTGACATTGTGTTCCTCTGTAGTGATACTGATCCCTTTGGGTCAAGTTTACAAACAACCCACAATTAGACTGAATATTGTAAAATATAACCTGTCTTTATTTTAGAGTTTCATCAGTCACCAGTAAATCATTCATCAAGCTGCACTATAGATACGAATACTGAATGTGGTCTGCCTTCTTTGCCCTCCCTGGACCTTTAGTCCTGAAGATGGAGACATGGACAGGCCAATTAGTCTGGAAGCCAGAAGCAAAATTCCTTCCTCAGAACTCTTCAATCATGATTTCTACATAATTTAACCACCCAGAGAGATGCAGTGAATACTCTCACTAGGGCTGCTCTGAGTCTTATGCTTACTCTGGCTTTTCATAAAATAGGTGGGTTCATTTCTATTTTCAAAAATTATAAAAATGCAAAGACTCTAGGAGCTGGAAGGAAAGCATCATAAAAATCAATCCTCTTATTTTAGAGATGATGAAATGGATGCCTGTCCCTAGGGACATCAAAGGTTTCCACTCCTTAGAAATAACAAGCTTGAATTTAGATCTCCATCACTCACTGATGGCAATAAAAGTCCCCTGGAGTATCCTCGATAAAACATCTGTGCATGGGCCATAAGGCCATACCCTTTCCTCAAACTGAGAACATGTTTATTAATGAACATAGAAAGAAACCCCCAAGATGCATTCATTTCCCCGCCCTGGACAGCAGAATCCACCCTTGGAAAGTTTCACAGCCGGAAGAGTACTTGGATGCAGTGTTGAAAAGGGGAGGGGGCAGAGAAGGGGTCTTTGCTTCCCTGTATCAATATTTGTCTAAAAAGGATGACAATTTTAAAAACAAATCAATATTCATATCTAATACATTTTCTTAGTCAGTGACTTGCTGGTGGCTGGACTCCATAAAAAAAGACAAGTGACATTTTGTGAGGTTAAATCCAGTTTTGAGTTCAGAATTATTACAATTAACATATTCAAGGGAATCATTTAAATTTGTTTTCATTTTTAGGGCTTCTTTTTTAGATTTAGAATGCAATAGGTTTCATAATGCATTCGGCAAAACAAAGTCTCAGAATAGTTCATAGATACTTATCAATCATTATCCTAAACCAAGATGTTTTAGCTTGATTTACTTACATAAACTTCTTATCCAAGCTGATCAACAAACCAATAAAATATGGTGTCTGTCCACCGTTTCTGTTTATCTAGAACATGGAAATTTACACAGTTCAATTTATAGTCACTTAATAAGCAACTTTGTAAGCAGAACCTACATATTAGTAAGGCACCCAATTTATAACCTTCTAAAATGTCTGTGAATTCATGCAGAAATGTTATATATTTGTTATATTATTCATAAAATGAAAATGATGTACCCACAATTCAGTAACCTTCGTTTATAAAGCAAATGTCTTAAGTCATTCTCTATGATATCAAATTCCTGTAACAGTTGGGTGTTGGAGATGTCCTTTAAAACAAAGTGGCTAGTGGTATTTGTGTATCATAGAAAATACTTTTTCAGACATAAGGATTTAGTATAGACTATATTATAAGGGTACAGAGCAAGGTGTACCCACAAAGATGGTGATGCCAACTACATCTTCATATCATTGTAATTAAATGAATTTTTTTCATTAATGATCAATTTACTTTAGTCTCCTTACTTCCTTTCTAGCAAATAATGATGCCCCATGAAGACTTTTAAGCAGAAAGATATTGAGCCAAGCAGTAAGAAGAAAATAAATAGTATCTTCAGGAATAGCTAATGATTTTGGTACAACTAAGGTTTTTATATGAACAATCAAGCTATACTATCTAGTAGCCAACAATTTGATCCAACAAAGACAGGCCTTTTGATCATACTGTGTGATATGCAACTAGTGTAGGACTGATACATAACAATCAGTTAAGACTTATAATCTTTGGAAATCAAATTCACTAACTCAAAGCCCTCAAGTGTGGATCTTTACAATGTTCAGACTAAGAAAAAATGTTTCTGGATTCTGTGATTCTAAACTGACTGTTCAGGAAATAAGGAAGGCATAGCCCTCTCTGTGGCGCCTACCTGAGGGGCTTGTACCGTATCTCCCCAGCTTAGGAGCCTCAAATTTGCACATAATTTGGAAATATGTTCTAAGGTGTCAAGTAAAATTATCTTTGCTTATAGGGCATCATTGCCCCCTCTTAAACTAATCATATTCTTACATATTTCCACAGAAACTTCTTTTCACTTTCATTTTTAATAGTAACAAGATCACCAAAATTCTTCTTGCAAAATGCTCGTGCATTGTCCATTGTTTCCTTCTCTTTGCTAAAATAATACTGGTAGTCTTTGTAAATAACCCACCCATCTGCAGTAACTGGTGGATCTGAAAAAAATCATGAGAAAGATGATGAATTTCACCGAGATAAACTAAAGAATCCAGTTAGTAGAGACAGTAGCTATGTTAAAGATATGTGCAACTCCAAGATCTCAGAATACACAAAATATTCATGTTGATGATAGACTGGATTGTCCCAGGCCCTATATTTATTTTCTACCAATTCCCTTCCCAAGTAAGTCCCATGGGTTGCTATTGGGTAAACGACCTCTGGGTGTTAACCTTCATCAGGACAGCATAACTAGAGGATTCATTCACGTGCTCACAGTCTTCTAGACAAAGAATGGAAACTGAAAAATCAGATTCCACTCCACTGTAAGAAAGGACTTCTACAGACGGACGTGGGTAGTTCACAGTAGAACTAGAGAACCAAACCAGGGAATTTTATGGTTCTATACTGCAGGAGGCCAAAAAAGGGGGGGGGCATATGATACCCACGACCTAATTCCAGGAATCTGTGACTGCTGGCTTATAATGAAAAGGACTTTGTAAATGTGATTAAGTTAAGGATCTTGAGAAGGAAAGATAATCCTGGATTATCTGGGTTGGTTGTAAATATAATACGTGCCCTTAGAGAAGGATGAAAGGAGAGGTCCAACTACATAAAAAGACAGAATGAGAACTGAAGCAAGATGCTACCTGGCTGGGCTTGAAGATGGAGCAAGGGACCATTTTCCAATGAATTCAAAGGATACAGCTCTGACAGATGGTGAAAGCAAATGACCACATTCTCCACCAGAACCTGATGGCAGGGGTGCTCATGTGGATGCACATTTGTATTTTGACTCTGGAACAGATTTCAGATTCCTGACTTCCAGAACTTTCAGGGAATAATTGTGTGTTGTTTTGAGCTATCGACTTTGTGGTCAGTTATTAGAATAGCCATTGGTCATGTGCTGAAGAAAAAAACCTGGATTTGACCATGGGAAGCTGTGCTAGCAGGGTTAATGGTGCGTGTGGTCTGCTCGCTGGAGACAAAAACCCAATTGTTCACATGCTCAATGTTACTAAGAACCTTCTGCTCTCCATTGTCTGGGTTAATTTTTTTCATTGAGAAAGGGAAGGGGGAAGAAAAAGGCTACAATTCAGAGATGGAAAAACATAGAAACAAACAAAAAAGCCACAGAAACACCTACTGTCATGAGAAGCTGGTGTGGGCTCAGGTAGTAGTGTTTTTCCTATAAAATAAGGAGAAAAATACATAAAATGAGGTCAAATGTCTGCTGTTACAGCTCCTTCTGTTTTTGCATGTCAATAAAACCTTAACAGTTCTCCACACCTGTCTTCACTCCTCCCTCCAGTCCACTTATGACGTTGTGGTAGGAGAATGGAGGAAAGAATTAGGGATCGAGGTTAGCACAAATTAAATACCAGCCGCTGCAAATGTGAAGACCCCAAAAGACAGAAATACCAAGAAAAGAACATGAACTTTAGGACCATGTTTTGCCAATTAGTAACATGTATAAACAGATGGGGTGAACATTCAAGGTGTTGGTATGCAGGAGGACTTCACTAGATAGAGTTCTTCAGTTAGACACGTCAGGAATGCCTATGAGATCACCTAAAATTTCATTATTTGGAACCATTTGTTGTAAACTATAGATAAAATACAGATATATTTTCTTCAAAGACTCTTATTGTTGCATGTATATTTTACTAGACTTTAAAGGAAATATTCTTCCTTCAAAGCAGTTAATATTATCTGGGTTTTGTTGGAATCTGGTAACAGGGCTCAGGTCATACTTAGTGTGATGGCTAATCCTGGGTGTCAACTTGACTGGATCTGGGATTAACTGAAATGAAAGAGATCTTCTTGATTGGATCATCTGAAGCTGGAAGAC